TCTCTCTCTCTCTCTCTTTCTCTCTCTCTCTCTCTCTCCAATTCTCTCTCTCTCTCTCTCTCTCTCTCTCTCTCTTCTCTCTCTCTCTCTCTCTCTCACACACACACACACACACACACACACACGCCCGCACACACACACACACAACACACACACACGCGCACGCACACACACACACACAACACACACACAGATGTATACACACACACGCACTCCATGGTGAAGAAGATCTCTCAACGATGCCCGTTGTATATCGTGGAGGTGTGTTTTGTCGTTTTGGCTTGTCGGGTTTTGTTGCGTTATTCTATTTTATTTTATTTTATTTTAATTTTTCTCTCACCTCATATATTATTGAACTTGCGTTCTACCTTGTCATGTAAGATATCTTTCTTTGGGCCTCGCCACACCTATGGGCCTCGCTGCACTACTCTCGAAATGTGCAAAACGAGAGTGAATCTTCTGCTAGAAGATGGAAGGATACACCACCATGAATTTTGTCTTTTGTGCATTTCGAGAGTAGTGCAGCGAGGCGCTATGTCGAAACGGCGAAGTTTTCGACAACTGTCAGAACTTTTTCGACATAGGGTTTTTCGATAAAAGCCCCGTCTTCGCCACACAGCAAATGTAGAGGACGTGCGGAATTGAGGCGGATGAACGGGATAGTTGGTAGAAAGAGCCCACGCCCGCCCTACACTGGGCCGTTTGGTACTACCCTCCCAAACGTCTTCAGCCTGGGTGAAAGGCGCCTTCGCGCCATGGCCACATCTTCCTGGGGCTGTTTTTACCGGTTCAAGAATTCGGTAGGGCCCTTCTTTCTCAAAATACCTTACCACTGTTATGGGCCAGATTCATGACCCGGTAGTTCCTTTGGAGGGACGCCTGGGCTGTATTACCGCACATGGAAGTCATTTGGGCGGTAGTACCAAACGGCCCAGTTTCGGGCGCCCAAAACAGAAAAGGTTTTGCGGTGGGCTCTTTCTACCAATCATCGCTGACATCTCCAAGACACGCCGAATCTACCGTGACACGTGGAAAACGGCACACCTTAAAAGCGACGCCCAAAATAGAAAAGGTTTTGGCGTGGGCTCTTTCTATCAGTTATCCCCGGATGCAGATTCTACCCTGACACATGTCGAAAACGGCACACCTTAGGACCTCGCCACACCAATGTCGAAACATCATGAAATTCCACATATGCCGGGAAATTTTCGACATTCCCTCTTTGGACAGAAAACCCCTCTTCGCCTCACAGCATGTCGAAGTGAAGAACTCACAAGTCCTACGCACAAAAGAGACAAACTGGGGTGAAGATGGGACAAGCGGCGGTGCATCCTCTTTTTCGACATTCGGGCAAGAATTCGACATCCCATCCGAGGACTGTTGAAAATGTCCAAGTTCCAGGCTGGGAAACGAGCGCTTCTCGAGAGGAGGTGTCGAAAGTTGGAAACCCTTTCACTGACAGCTCCTGAAGTTTTTTTTGCATCCTGGATTTCTACACGCTGTGCGGCGAGGAGAACATGTCGAAAATGCAGTTTTCGACATTGGTGTGGCGAGGCCCTTAAGCGCTGGTGCTCAATTTTGGCTCTCAACAGGTGGGCGGTTTCACACAGATGTAGAAACCCTTTTCCTGACGATTGTCCAAGTGTTTTCGACAATTTTTCTCTTCGACCGTCTGTGTGGCGAAGAAAAAATGTCGAAACCACTTATTTCGACATTGGTGTGGCGAGGCCCTTTCACTACCTACCTACCGCTACGTGTTTCGTCGTTTCTTTTTTGGTCTTCCCACAAAATGAAATAATAGTCAAGTGCATATGATTCTGTTTATTGCATTGTTTGTGAAGACTCTGAGTGTACATGCGTGCGAAATCTCTTATGCACAGGTAGCTTGTCACTGATGTTAGACTGTGATTTCGTGTTCTGGCATTCTTGTGTGATTTGTAAGCGGCCTACCACCATGCACTCTCTCTCTCTCTCTCTCTCTCTCTCTCTCTCTCTCTCTCTCTCTCTCTCTCGTGTGTGTGTGCCCGCGCACCTTGTTCGGTGGTTGAAAACTGCACATGGGCACCACACTTTGAGAAGTTGATTCCGGAATGAAAGAGCTGTGATTTCTTCTACACTCGGGGAAGAAATAGTGTGGACATAAGGAGGGTAATCCTCCCCCTCCTCCCCCATTGTTCTCTTCCGTGCGCATGTTCCCTTTTCGACTCCTATTTTGTTTCCCCTCCTCCTCTCCTCCCTCTTGACCTGATCTCTCCTTGCGCACCATGTAATCCTTTCTTCCCTCATTTTGGTATGTTTCTATTTCACACGAGGTTAAACTCACTTTGAATGTGTATGTGCATGAGTGTGCCACAGAGAGAGAGAGAGAGAGAGAGAGAGAGAGAGAGAGAGAGAGAGAGAGAGAGAGAGAGAGAGAGAGAGAGAGTCTCAGAGAGCACAAGTCGTATAATTCCTGATCCATGGGGCCCAGTGCCGACAAAATGAAGAGAGGGGAAAGGGGGTACAACGAACGCTCTCGCTCTATTTGCTTGGTTCAAGTTGGTTGGCCCACACACACACACACACATAGAAAGACATATGTATATATATATATATATATATATATATATATATATATAT